GACCTTTCTCTTTGGATTTTAGTCAATCTAGCCAGTGGGGTGTCAATTTTGTTTATCTTTTCAAAAAACCAGCTTTTGGTTTTGTTGATCTTGCACATAGTTCTCTTGTTCTCAATTTCGTTTAATTGTGCTTTGATCTTAGTTATTTCTTTTCTTCTATTTGGATTGGGATTGGTTAGCTCTTCCTTTTCCAAGTCCTTGATTCTACCTTCCATGCTTTTAAAAACAGAAAGAGATAGGGAAGGCTGTTGTAATTTGCTTTCACAAAAATGGGATTACATTATCACCCTGGAACTTCCTTTTTTCAATAATGGCTGTCCCTCTAGGTCGGTAGATACAGATTTCATGCATTCTTGATCATTTTACAAATACACACACACACATTCTTAAACCCGTAATTAAATACTAAATAATTGGGCCAAAAAATGCTTAACGAAAGACAGTATTGTGTAGTGATTAAAACTGTTGCTAGAGATTAAAATCATTTCTTAATATTAAAGAAAGTAAGAGAAGCAATAGAAAATCCAAATAATTTTTCTAACTGCATAATTTAATCCACATGATTTCTATAGTGGTACTAACTTAGTATTTCACTGATTCAAGATTTGGCAGGACAACAAGGAAGAAAAGTTTTAAGTTTTTCTTCCTATTCCTCTTAGATTCTATTACAACTTGAGCCTTTGAATTACTAATGAATTTTGCAGCTTTTGAACAATAAAACTCAGAAAAAAATAAAAATCATAGCCCAGTTTTCTTTCCCATTTAGAAAAGGAAATGTGACCAACCGACAGCCAAATATTTTAAATATGCATACAAAATTTTGTTGTCAAATATTTGTACTTTTTTCATGTGTAACTCTCCGGGTTGATCAGTATATAATTAAAATTTCAAGATTCTCTCTTAAAAGTCCTCAAAGAGGTGTGATTTATTATATAAATATTTTTTAAACACTTACTTTGTGGTAATTAATTTTTCAGGTGGTGGCTGGATTGAAATATTCTATTGAGTTCACAGCCAGGGAAACTACATGTTCCAAGGAAAGTAATGAAATGTTGACTGAAAGCTGTGAGATCAAAACACCTGGCGTAAGTAGTAATGCACCTGTCTACTTTTTCACAGGAAACCTATTTGATGTTTAAAGAATCACTTGTTTAAGTATCTCATGAATAACACTGGTCTCTCGTTTTGCTTCTGTTTTCATGGATAGCAAAGTCTGGACTGCACTGCTGAAGTTTATGTGGTAGCTTGGGAGAAAAAAGTTTACCCTACTGTCAACTGTCGACCACGAGGAATGGTATGGTTCTAACTACAGTCAGTTTGGGGTCGTTCTGCTCATTCTGAAAGCCATATTTTGGGGGTTGAAAATGAGCCATTACTGAAATGAATTGGGGAACTATCTTTTAAAAATGGGGGGAAATGTCACATTTCTGTTCTGATCTCTTTTTTTTTTTATTATTTCAGCGTATTATGGGGGTACAGATGTTTAGGTTACGTATGTTGCCCTTGCCCCCCCTGCCCCCCTGC